CTGGTGATGGTAAGGTCAAGAAAATTAATAGATTGAGATGATTCTAGTTCCATAGTGAACTTAATGTTTGGGTGGATTTGGTTTAATTTAGAGAGTAATAGATCAGCTGAATTTGAGTTACCTGATATGAAGACTAAGCAGTCATCAACATATCGAAACCAATGGAGAATTTCAGGATTTTTCATAATGTGTGTGGACTCTAAGTGATCCATAAATATATCAGCTAAGAAAGGGGAAAGGCAACTACCCATGGCTAAGCCATCATGTTGTCTGTAAAATTTACTATTGAAAACAAAAAAGTCTTGAGCTAGACAAGTTTGTAATAATTGAATAATTGAGTTAGTGGTAGACAAAGTGATAGAATTTGCTCGAAGAAGAGACTGGACCAGATTAATAGTTTCTTGTTTGGGGACTGAAGTAAATAGATTGCTGACATCAAATGAAAGCATTGTGATGTTAGGATGAAGATTTATTTGTTGAAGATTGTTGACTAGATGAATAGTGTTTTTGACTGCAAATCGAGGGGTGAAGTTCGTCATGTTGTTAATGAGATTCAATATGAATTTTGACAAAATAGAAACTGGAGTATTTATGAAACTAACAACGGGACGAATGGGAATGCCCTCTTTATGTATCTTAGGTAAACCGTACAATCTGGGTGTTAGTGGGTTACTAGGTATTTTATAATATGGAGCGTCATGTTCTGAGAGAAATTCTGTGAAAAGTTTATTGGTGGCTTTGATTTTGTTGATGAACTGTTTTTGTTGGGTCTTCGGAGAGCAAAGTGAAATTGTTATCTGAAAGAAATGTGGTGACCTTGTCGTTATATGAATTTTGATCTAGAATAACTAGGCAATTGCCTTTATCTGCTTTACTAATAATAAGATTGTAGGATTTAATTTTGTTTTGAATAGACTTGAGGATTTGGAGTTGGTCTTTCTGTTTTTTGTTTGAAAATTGTGGAAGAGAAGCATTAAATGAATAATTTTGGGAAGTAAAAGGTGGGTTAATGGATGAAGAGTTATTTGATGTGTTTAGTAGAGTGTTGGGAGTAGAGTTATTGAAAGAAGAAGAAGATGATGGAAAATTTTTGTTTTTGAATTTGTGGATAGTTTTATAGCAAGAGTTTCTAATTGACGTTTTTTGATTTAGAGGGATAGAAAGATTCTGGATGATAACATCTAGCTCAATGGAAAGACTCTGAAGGTCCTTTTCAGAAACCTTCTTCGGAATGGAGTATTTGAGACCTAGATTCAATAAATTGAGTTCATTTTTATCAAAGATTACAGAGGATAAATTTTTGAGCCTTGGGTGAAATTGAAAATTAGAGAATTTAGTTTTATTGTTGCTGTTATTGTTTTGTGAATTAGATGAAATACTGATGAGTTTATTAAGTTTAGATTTAAGTTTACTGAATTTAATAGAAGTTACATTGTCCATTCTGTCCTGAACATCATTCAAAAGGTTACTTAAGTTATCAAAACCTATGGATTCAAGTAAAAAATATACCCATTTACAAAGATTAACCTCTTTTTGTTATACGTGGTATACAGCCAGCTACAGGAATTTTTCCTTGTGGATTTTATTTCACTAAATATCCGAAGATTTCTAAATTGACGAAACCAACATCCAGATTTTTGTTCTAATCTGTGTCTTCTAAGAATTGCAATGCAAACAGACGTTAATTAAGGTGTAATTAGAGAAAATGGGGAATCCAAAGTTGTATCCCACAACATATCTCCTAATTTTAAATAATATTGTTTATTTGGCTAATAACGAATGTATAAATATAATGGTTAACCTGCTGTACAATTATTTGGTAAATACCATTGTAATAGTGTACTCACTGATTATTTAAACGTATAAATCATCATCATCGTCACTAAATTCACTATCGCTACCATTATGTAAATCTATAATCACTGGATTAATTTCACTAATTTTATTTTCCCGAATTCACCACTCTTCTATTAATTTTCACATTGATTTACAATTTTGTCTCATATTTCTGGTGATGCAATTTTAAGAGCTTCTTGCCACTGTATCCACTGCATCCAACGTGATTATCATAATACGTTTTACATATACTTCAGATGTGTTCGATGGGATTAAACTGACAGTAATACGGCGGTAACCATAATACATGATGTCCATAACTTGATACAATTTGGTCAACTATATAAACGGTTGGTTTTTATTACGTTTTGAAATTTCCAATAACTCTGATTTGAAGGCGTATTCCGGAAAATTGATATTATATTTAACTAACCAATTTTTTATGCTCGGTATGTTCCACGACTGTTTTGGTTGTTCTCCAAAATCTCGGAATGGTAAGATGCATTATCTAAAACTATAACGGATGGTTCACTCAGGCTAGGTAACAGTTTATTCTCAAGCCATTTAACAAACATATTTGCATTCATGTTTTCATGGTAATCAGCAGATTTTGATTTTAAATAAAAAATCAAATCTGCGTTTTCTATAAAATCTTCTTTCTCTCCTGCATTAAGAATGATGTGCCCTCGGTATCTGTGTGTTTTATTGATTTTATGTTGTCGTTTTGCTAAATTCTTTTACTTCCACTTTTTGCAAATATCCATGTCTCATCTAAGTATAGGAATGTTGCATTTTCAGATTTAAATCTAGTATATTCTCCTAAAAATTCAATTTTTTTATGAACCACACTACTCCTTTCGCATAAAAGTAACATATTATTTTTTAAATTTAAATCCTGAATCTCTCAACACTTTCCAAAGGCTAGTCCTCTTAATTTCAGAAACTTGTGTTTCTCTTATTTTGGTCAGTAAAGTATTTAAACTGACAATGACAATGTTGATTGTTGTAGTTGACAATCTAACCACCACTATTTAAATTGACAAAATGTTCTAGTTTACTCCGAAGTATTTTTATATATCTACTTTGAATATAAATTATCCTGACACCGTAGTATGTGTTTACAGTGCCTTTTACAACAACGAAAGGTTTTCTACGAATTCCGTTAATCGTTTAGAGGTGTAAGTTGGTTGAATGTACTGTATGTGTTAGTACCTAACTATAAAGCGTAGAAGCTTGGACTCCCAAGTAGAACAACATACAAACATTGAGGATTTCGTACTACGTCGAATAAATAAACAAAAACCGAAATAATACTAAATATAAAACAGAAAAATTTGAACACTGATATATTAAATTCCTAATAGGCGAGGAACATATACAATGCCCACTGTTCCGTTATATCTCTCGTGTTAATAATTGTAAAATAGAATTTTAAAATTTTGCTGAACACGCCAAGTATCTTTTTTTATAGTTCATTTCCATCATATTGATAGCACATTATGTATGCAAATCCCTAAACTGTTGATACGGGTGACTCAATGAAAAATAGATATTTGTCAACAAGTTTACAGAAGTATATAGGAAAACAATTTTAAATTGAGTATGACCACCAGGTATAAAGGTTGAAGCAGAATAGAATACAATAGCTTTGAGGGTTACTAATCCCTAAATAAAGTTGCCAGTGTCGGAGTGATGGAGATTAACAAGTTCTAATGAATTTGCAAGAAATGTAAGATGTTTTTTTTATTGGTTATATATAAAATAATTTGTGGCCGTAACAGGGGACGATTTGTAAAAAAATGAATATTATTTTAATCAAATTCCATTTCAGATTCACTGCTTTCTTAGGAATCTAAGAAATCTTCAACTCCAATGTTAATTATTACCGGTTCCAGCATTGCATCAGTCATATTATCCAAATTCCACATTTTATTTTCTTCCTTGTGAGCACGACTAACAGCATTTTTCCAATTTTCTGGAGTTACTTTTGATAAGGAATGTTCTAATAATTGTAAGTATTCTAATTTAAAAGTTTTGTTGTTGCGTCCGACTTCACCCTTTACTTGAGACCATATATTTTCTATCGGATTCAGATCACAGTGGTATGGGGGTAAACGTAAAATAATTACATCACGGTTTAATGCCATTTCATCAATTATATGTTTTTTATAAGCTGCTTTATGTTGCCTTATAATAGGTAATAATTCCTTTTTTGTCGAATTCTCCTTGTACTCAATTGCGTGTTTATCCAACCATTAGATTATCTCTCCTTTTTTCCATGCCGTTGTTGGTAATTTTTCTGCTAGTCTTGACTGGTAACTAGCATTATCCATGACTATGACGGAATTTTTTGGAATTAAATCCAACATTTGCTCAAAATATTCTTCAAAAATGTCAGCAGTCATTTCTTCGTGGTAATCTTTGGTTGATTTTGAGGCAAAACTTAATAATCCACCATTGACAAAACCATATTCGTTTCCAATATGGGTTACTTTGAGTCTGCGTCCTTTTCCAACGGGAATATTGTTTATTCCAGTAGATACACCATTAATCACCCGTGTATAATTAACAATAATCGTGTGGCATATATACCGACGTTTTTTACGCACAAAAAAAGGTATAGTGAGATTAGTGGACACTTATTTTACAGAAAATTTTTTAAAAGATAATGAATTGTTGACGGCATCTTAAAATATTAATTTTTTTTTATTTATTTCAAAACAAGTATATGTTTTTGATTTGCATACATAATGTGCTATCAATATGATGAAAAAGGACTATATCTCCCCAAAATCCTAGAATGCTTTAGAATATATTACAAAGATATTGTTTTCAGCTGTTCAACACGAACGAGCTCCTCGCACCAGCCACCCATCGCCCCTACATCATTATCACCTTGGACTGGGCGCCAGACTAAGACCGTTTTCATTTTCTCCAATTGGTAATGTTTCCAGCATCAGCGGTATTCCACTACAGATTCAAAATCCTCCTTTGCTGGACCCTATGATGTCCCAAATTCCCGGACATTATTTCCACCAAGGACTTATTTACCCTACGGCTTCGATATTGGGGGCGTTTGGGAAACAACCGGCAGGGATGCACTCAAGTCTCAGTAAGTTTTATTTTGGTATATGTATCTCTGTATTTTCTCTTGATTTTTTTAGGTATTTCAAATTCACCTTATACTATGCAGAAACAACAAAGTAATATGGCAAATCCAACCTCCTCACCTCGGTCTCCACGCAGTATCATTAAAGATGATGAAGTATCCAGTTCGGAAGAAATTGCTCAAAATAAATCATCAGAAGAAGGTGAGTAGTGTAAAAATTTGAATTTTATTATTAAAAAATCACTTAAAATTGTTAATTTTTATCATTATTATGCATTATGTATGTATACACATCTAAATGATGAATTGCAATCTTTGATATTAATATTTAGTTCAAATAATAATTCAAATAAAAATTCAAATTTACGAAGTCGAGTAAATTCCGCTAGATGGCTCTATGTAAAACTTTTAATAGATGCCTCGTAAAAGTTGTGATACACAAGCTTTCAAACGGAATGCATAGTATATTTGTTTATTTTGCCAATTGTTCATTGATGTATGAAATATGGGTGGATAAACTTCCAATTGTTTTAATAAACTTCATCTTATTTTAGAATCAATCCATGAAGAATCATCTTCGCGTCTAGAATTACCAATCGACCCTTGCAGACCTACCTCCGTTATAAGGCATTTAGAAGTGCCGTATTTGAACCTTTTTCCTGCTGAAAACGTTTACGAATCAGCAGCAAAATTGCTATTTTTAGCTATCAAATGGGCGAGAACAATACCATCATTTCTACAGGTACATATGGGAGACTTTAAAACATTTTAGAATAACTAATTACATCAAAAATGAAATGATTAAAATTTTTTTGTTTTAGTTATCATACAGGGACCAATCTATTCTCCTAGAAGAAAGTTGGAATGAACTGTTTGTGCTGACAGCTGCACAATGGGCATTTCCTGTAGACGAAGGTAATTAAAATTACTTAAATAACTAATTTTAAGTAAAAATTTATTAATGACATTTTTTCAAAATGATTTCAGTAAAATGTAATTCCCATTATAATCATTACTGGTTTAATACCTTGTAAAATCTATGTTTTTTTATTTCTAGCAATATTATTAAGTAATGTAGTGGCTCCCACTTCCCGTCAAGTTTTCTTGGAAGACGACGCAAGAAAATTAAAAGAAATCATAACAAGACTAAACTTACTAAGGGTAGATCATACTGAACATGCTTGTTTGAAAGCCCTGGTTCTGTTTAAAGCAGGTGAGTAAAGTTTTCATATTTAAAAGCTCTCCTGTAAAGCAGGAGATTTCCGCGGTTAGTGCAATTAAACCTAGAGCTAATATTAATACTATTATAAAAATTAATATTAAACTCACCAGCCTTTCGGGTTGAACCACGTTGATTTTTATTGCGCCGAGCTTTCGACCTCCTCTCTGATGTCTTCTTCAAGGCTTCCAAGGTCTCAGTATCTCAATAATCTACAGATCTACAATAATCAATGTTCACTTCACTACTACCACTGGAAACAGGGGACGGTTCATTTATACCGTCGATGCTGACGGTCATTAAATCAATAATAAGGAAAAATATACGCATGTACCATTTATTGCATCTTAGTTTGATTCTATAATAAAAAATAAAAAAAAAACAGGAATTGTTTTCCTTGTGGATTTTGATTCTATAGTATCCCAACATTGAATCCAGAATGCAGGAGATCTATTTTCCCTCATATCCTTGTTGTAGATCGTTACAGCTTTTGGACATGGAATCATTAGGTATATGTGTCTTATCCTTTTTCTAAAACCGTTTAATTTCTACTGTTGGCATACTCCCAGCATATGTTGATAAAATGTTTACTAATTTGTTGTCATACCATGTAACAACAGATATTTTTGTACCATCAATTGTGGCGACTTTCTTTACCATAGCTCCTTGGCCGTTCTTTTTTAATTCAGCCTCTTTTGGCATATAACTGTTTGGCACTCTGTTTATTCTAACTGTTCCTAGTGGTAACGTACCCTATTTCGTTAGATAAATTTGCAGTGAGACACTTTTACCAATTATCAAATAATATTTTGTGAATTATAGGTCTTGGTACTGTTTGTGTTAGCCGAAGAATCACATTTGAACTTACCCCTAAATCAGGAAAACCATCGGGTACAACATATTAGTTTGGCTTCCTACAAAAATTTCATAATCGTAGGAAAATCCGCTGACACCACTAAGAACAAACGTCTTATATCCCCATTTGTGGGTTTTTTTTTATAGATGAACGTGCCTTTGTTGGAATTGTCAGCTCATCTATGGCTAAAAATCCTCTTTCGGAACTTTGAGTTACTGATTCTTTAGTTTATTTAGTAACGGTCGGATTTTAAAAAGTTTATCATGACCAGTATTACCGGCAGCAATAGCATGGTTATTGTTAGCAAATGTTAAAAATTGTTTTATTTCTTACCATCTATTGCATGACTTAACATCTGAGATCAATCGATGATTCAGGCTGGAATTTCAATAACTTCTAACTTTGAAAATTGCACTATTGACATATAAATTCAGGTTCCTAAGAACTGCTCTAGCTCATTTTCAAAAAGTTTCAAAGATTTTTGAAGTCTTTTTCCACTGAATATAATATAGTTAGATAAACTATATCTTTGATCATCTCACTTTGTAAAAAAAATTAAAAATGCGCACGGTGAATCCGTTTGTTGCAACTCAGGTGACAGTTCAGTAAAACCGAGAAATCTTATATTATCATCCGAAGTTACCAAATTTCCTTCCTTCCAAGTTATTGCTTTTTATTTCTATTCTTTATTAGATTACGTCGTAATTCGTCCAAAGAAATATCATCTTCGCTATCCGAACTGCTTTCTAAATCCGTTACTGGGATAATAATATCTGATTTATTATCTATTATATCATCTTCATAGTCTGACTCTGGGGCTAATATAATAGGGGAAATATCATCATCTGATAACCCTTCGTCTTCACTACCACCTGGTATATCCATTACCATAAGAGTTTCACCATAAAACTTTTTTGGATCCATTATCTAAAATATAAAAAAAATAATAATACCTAGTTCAGAACGCATATTATGCCATACATGAAAGAGAGTTTTGCACGACAGTGCATATTGTGGCATATATGGCACAAGCATATTTTTGATAAAAAAATACCAAAATATAAAGAAATACGTGAAAATACTTACAGAAATCTTTCTTGAAGGTCTATCCTTGATATTACTACTTTTTTGTACAAAAATATTCATTAAAAATTTCGATAATTGAATATCAAATTGCACAATTCTTATGAATAACTGTCAGACCGCGACCATTTGCAAATTTTCATAAAAGGTAACTTTGCTGCATTGAGATGGCGCTTTATCACCGGTTATACGAAATATATGCTCTATTTGGACATGTTATACATAAATACTTTAAAATAAGATTTGATTTTTAACAGTTAGGTAACAAAACTAAATATTGTGCAATATATGACCCACTATACCGTAAGGGGTTAACTTCTGAAAGGATCACCACAGAAGCAATGTGATTAATTTATGGCAATAGACTTAGAAGACCCTGATCGTTTCCAGAGCAACATTAATTGATGCCTAACGGCATATTTATAATGTGTTGTTCCTTTATATTTTTAATATATCAAACATCTCCTTTAACATATTTCACGTTTTCTTTTAGAAAGCAGAGGTCTGTGTGAACCAACTCACGTTGAACTTCTTCAAGACCAAACTCATGTCATGCTACACGAATATTGCTCTCAGAAACAAAACATCCACAAAGGAAGATTTGGCAAGTTGCTGCTCACTCTTCCAGCTGTTCAGTCTGTTTCTAGGAGAGGACTGGAGGAACTTCTTTTTAGACAAACAGTGGGAGATGTGGCCATAGATAGACTCTTGGGAGATTTAGCGAAAGCTGCTGGATAAAGGGGAGCGTGTACATAAAATTTAATATTGTGTATGTTCTGTAAAATATTGTAATATTTTTGTGTTTTTTTTTTGTATAATAAAGTGTTTACTAAATGTTGAAGTTTTGGATATATAAATTGGAATAAGATTGCAGAAATTGTCTGCGTCCATCTCGAGATAAGAAGATATGTTTTATAGTTGCTAACAAATTATTGCAGAAAACCTTATCTTAAGCTTATTACAAAGTAATTTGTATTTGAGTGGTGTCGTTTAGTTTCAATATGTATCTACCATAAACAAATAATCCAGTCACAAATGAACACAATGCTACTGCTACCTGCTTTTGTTAGTAATCCCATCCAATAAAAATGACTGTATAATGACATGCAGATAATAAATTCTACAATAATTTGGTGGTGACTATATCATGATGATAATCTTTCTATATTCAGCATTTTAGGATCTTTATAATAATTTTCTTCACGATCATTTATTGACCAATCTTGTGTGTAGATGTATTTGGATAAAGTTGGTGCATATAAAATGCACACCTATTAAAACGGTTATTATAAAATGTATACGTTTGTTGTCTGGGCATCACTGAGGCACGTCTGAAGCTGGTGCTGGATGTGACAGCATATGGGACGTTGGTGACAGGATGTAGAAGGACTCTAAAGGGACTATAATCACTTACAGCTCACCAGCAATCACACGTAAGCTAGATGATATCACAAACCTTCAGTCAGTAAAGATGCTAGACTGGAACATCAATCGGCGCATAATCAAGAGGGACGACTGAGGCAGCGCATAAAATTGATTTGTCTACGTCTGAAGCTGGTGCTGAATGTAGGTAAGATGTTGAGGAGACGGAGACCTGTCCTAAAATTAACTACAGGCTAACAGCAACAAACACATGAGACAGATGATATTAAGAGCTTCAATTGCTGAACATCAGCTGGTGGTCACTCAAGAGCGACAACCCAGGCAGCTCCTGAAATGCACTATGTCCACGTCTTACGCCGGTGCTATACAACATCTGTACGGCGAATTTTGCAAGGAGTCGCCGGAGATTCAAGTAACTTAACAGTGAGTACCTCGCGTTCCTTCGCGAAGCACGTAATCCCATATTTCTAATGTATTCTACGATGTTATCAAGGGACCTTATTCTGAGTCTTCCTCTTCATTTCTGACCAATGGACCAAGGAGCGTTTTTCTAGCTGGGGCATTTTGTTCCATTCGCATTACATGCCCTAATCCTCCTCAAACGTCCTATTTTAATTACGATATCTGGGTCCTGGTATATTCTGTAAAGTTCGAAGTTGTATCGTCTTCTCCACACTCCATTGTCATTGACTGCTCTATAGGTTCGCCTTGGTACTTTTCTTTAGAAACATCCTAACATGTTTTCATTACTTTTTGTTAGAGGCTAGGTCTCTACACCATATGTTAGGACTGGGCGTATTATTATTTTGCGCTGCTCTGTATCGAATCAAAATCTAATACCGTCATTGTGTTTTATTTCTTTACTTCGTTTGGAGTACCAGAAATCTAATTCACTGCGAATATTGGCCATGATGAACGGCATTTAGAATGCAATTTTAGATGCCCTTGCCGATTTATTCATCAAGCTGTTTGCTTCGCAAGTTTTAAGAAGCACGGTGGCTGATATTTGAATTCGATTTTGCCAGGTAGAAATCGTATGATTTCTCTTTTTGTTATTATTATTTTGTTGAGTTTTATTTTTGTATTCCTCAATATAAATGTGGATTTAAGGAAGAGATTATGCCCAAACTAGTATGTGTTGCCGTGCAAATTCTGCGGTTTATCTCTGCGGTAGTATTATTTTTAGTGTTAATATGCCTCTCAGCATAGGCTACATAGGCAAGCATTTGCACTGATTTATTATATTGAAAAATTGGTTGTGATTTGTGTTATACGTATTACTTTTTCCAGAGCCAGATTGAACAGGAGAGAGGTCCCCCTGACGCTGCCCGTTATTTGTTTTAAAAGGTTCAAACAGGTGCCCCTGAATTCGTACTCTACATTCAAATTTTTCAAGTAGTTTTGTTAAGTTTACCAACCTATTTGGTATTCTTAAAGTATTCTTCACAGAGCCATAGGCTGCTTTGTGGTCTATAAATATGTGATGTGTATCAATGTCCCGGTCAATACTGGGTAATTATAAGAAACAAGCTCACTCCAGAGACTAAACGCAATACCATCAGAACTGAAATCGAACAGGAGATTCATAACGAAGAGGTAGTTGCACATCAAGTCCCTAATGAAATACATATGCACACTCCTGAGTTTCCTATACAAAAAACTGAATAAGCAGCAGGACAACGACTTGCACGGTAATCTGGTAAGCGAAATGGCATGTACTGTACAAGAGTCCGGTGTACAAACCCGCTTAGCAGATCTCTACTACCAAAAATAAACTCTTGTAAGAAACTGAGTGTCTATTGCTTAAGTAGCAGAAGAGACTTTGACAATAGCGACATTTACATTTCATTTAGAAATATAAAACAATATAAACAATGAACTGTCATGATCAACAGTGAAGTTTTAGAAAGTTGAATTTTTTCGTCTTCTTCTTCTTCTTCTTCATAAGCAATTCTGCTTGTTCATTGGCGGATTAATACCTATGGAAGATTGTCACTCCATCTTTTGCGCGGTCGTCTGATACTTCTTCTGCCAATTGGTAACTTATCTCTTGCTATTTTGATGACACGGGTCTCCTTGATTCTGCTTATGTGGTTATTCCATTCTTTTTTCTATTTTGTGTCCATTCATTTATACACTGTGTCTTACATTTTCTTCTAATGTCTTTACTTCTCTTTGATCTCTCAGCGTATTTCCTGTAATTATTTTCAGTACTCTCATCTCTGCCGTTTGCAGTAGCCTTTGCGTTGTGACTGTGTCGGATCTTGTTTCTGAGGCATATGTCATTATTGGTCTTACACTGGCTTTATAAATTCTTGATTTTATCTCAGTGTTTATGTGCCTGTTTCGCCATATAGTGATATTAAGGTATACTGCCAGTATATTTGCTTTTTGTACTTGATCCCTCACTTCTTTGTCTAGGTCTCCATAGCTAGTGTAATTCCCAGGTATTTTATTTCCATTACTTGTTCAATACTGACGTCATCAATTTCTATTTTACATCTAGTTGGTTTTTTACCGACTACTATTGTTTTAGTTTTCTGAGATGAGATTATCATATTAAATTCTTTTGCTCTTATGTTAAATCTGTGGTCCAGTCTTTGCAGACTATCTCATCTTGGGCTATCAATATTGCGTAACAGAGTATGCATTCTTATTTCTTTGTTTCCCATTCGGTATCCTCTTCCTTTGTTAACGGTTTTGATGATTTCATCCATAATCAAATTCAAGAGCATGGGGCTCAATGAATCCCCTTGTCTTATTCCGCTGCCTATTTCTATAGATTCTGTAAGTTGTCTATCTATTCTGACTTCCATTTTGTTGTTTTGGTAGATGTTTTCGATAGTTTTTATAATATTTAGGGGAACTTCTCTATTATATAGAAGATGGATTACATCTTTGAGTCTTACTCTGTCAAACGCTTTCTTTGGCTCAATCAGACACAGAAATGCTGGTCTATTATACTCTAGTGATTTCTCAGTAATTTGCTTTATAACGAATATTGCATATGTACACGATCTTCGACTACGAAAACCCTGTTGTTTATCTGCTAAACTTATCCTCTGTTTTACTAGCCCTTGTAAAATATTAGTTGTAAGTTTTACCGTAGTATTTAACAAGTTTATACCTTTGTAGTTTTCTGGCTATGTGATTGTGATTCAGAAAATAAACATATCTCAACAATACCGGCTATCCACACCAGCTTCTCTTAACAGCAAAGCTGGATGGATCGAAGAAATGATGCACAACTGTCAACACAATAGTAGTAGTCCCTACGAACCCTTTACTTCTGACTAAAAAAGTGTTGGTGTGTTTATGAATGATTATAAATATTAATTATTCATAGTATTTCTAATAAGCAGGAAATACGATGCCATAAATAAACAAATCGAACTAGAGAATACGAGAAATGGTCACAAATCATCTATATATGGAAGATAAAAATGAACATATGGATAATAAAACCTTAACAAAGTCTGCTAGGATTATGTGATAGCGTAACCAGAAAACTACGAACGCAGAGAAGCGACACTCCTTTGATCTTGCGTGGGCAAGCCGCCAATGAGTGAAAATGACAGAAAAGCAACCAGCTAACTAATAGTCAGTGGGCATATCACACAATATAAATTCTTATATAAAATTGAGCATTTATGTTGACTTTCAATAAATATGAAATATCAATTGTGTTTATTGTATTATATTGTAATTTGGAAGGTACTGCGTCATGCACCAATGTTTTTCCTTTATTTTTTTTTGACAATAAGATTATCTTCAAAATGTAGTTCATAAATCCTATAACTATTATAACGTATATCCATTTTTAACAATAAATCTTCTCGTCTGCAAGCTTCTATTCACATTTTGGCACTACAAATTTTTAACAGAATAAATTTTAAACAAAGAACTTTTAGCATTTATAAATAATACTTCATTACTTACAACTATAAGAGTATTAATATATTCTAAGTATATTGTAAGTAATGCAGTATTTAACTTTTGTCAATATCTCATCTTAATAAATTTACAGTTTTCTCCTGATTAAGTCACAAAATTGTCACTAAATATTGAGATATACAACAAATAAAGTTTTAATATTTTTTATTTGTAATTCCCATTTAAATATTTATTCCCTAAATATGTTGTGTACTCCGATCCATATATTTGATCTTTGTTATTTATATTTAACGAATTAAACATTGACAGACAACTTTTGTATGTAGCAAAAAGTAGATGAATATTTAGTTTTTTCATAATTTAATGTAAGTTTGTTTATTTGCAACCATGTTTTTATTTTGAAGTCTTGTTCTGTTGTAATTTTAGGATTTTCCTAATTATCGGTCCAATTATGTTTCCAA